CTTGTGCTCTTGGCACCTGTAAAAAGTATTGTAAATAAATACTGTTTTTGTTATTAATAATTTATTTAATGTTTTTTTTTATTTTTTTATTTGTTTTATTTTATTTGTTTATATATATTTTTTAGGATATTGTTCAATTAAATGAAGATGAGATTTTGAATTATACTGAGATACAAACTACCGAATTTGAAGATGTCCAGGAGAATGAAGTTACTATTCAGCCTGAAAACCAAAGTCCGTCTACAAGTTCGGAGGGTGAATTGAAAAGGAAAGCCAACAGTGTCCCTCCTAACCAATCTAGAATGAAAAAAGTGGACGCGCAATTGAAAGATGTTGTTGACGTCATCAAGACTGTTGGCAACAAAATAGGAGGAAATAAACCTGTGGTACGGAAGTCTACTGATGATGCTTTTGGGGACTATGTTGCAAGTAAGATGCGTGGATATTCCCATAATACAAGATGCTTTGTTCAACACAAGATCAATAATATTTTGTTCGAAGCTGATATGGGAATGTATGAACAGCCAGGGCACACAGTCCCATTGACTATTTCTATCCCCCAAAGCACAAACTCATCTACAACTCCAGAATATTTATCAAACAATAATTCACCTTCTCTGTTGTTGTCGAATAATGAGGGCACGCAGTTGGCTTGGCATTTACACGAAGGATATGGATATCACTATAGCACTCATAGCCGTCAGGTCATCTGACAGCATAGCTATTCAACATCTAGACTACGTGCGATGAAGAGTGATTCCTATACGGGTTAGTTCCGGAAAGAAACTAAATCTTAATATCTCATGATATGATCGACAGGGTTCAGGGTTTACACGTGGTCTCAAACGAGCATGCTTCCATCTTACATGCCTTAAGATGTAAGGCACCCCCCCCCCCCCCAGGAGGTCTTTCCTGGAAATAATGTACGTACATAATTAACACATAACAATAGCCAAATGCCTCGTCATCTAATTAGTGACACGCATGATTGTTGGCCATAAACGAACCCCTTTTTCTGTACAAAGGAAAGTTGGCCTTCCGCCAATACATAAAAAAACAGGTTTGGAATAAAGCTTTTTGTTTTGTCTGACTGTGAGACTAGCATGGTCATTCACATTTTTCCATATGTTGGAGCCGAAACACGTCTGAACTTCCCTGGCATATAAGGTATACAGATTACAGGGCAAGTTTAGCTCATACTCTTGGAGCCTTTTTTGGCCTTGGTCATTAAGTTTACCTTGATAATTGGTATGTCAGCCCAGCCTAGCGATGGAACTTTATATACACAACATAAACATGTGTATGAACTGTCCTACCAGTTAGGCAAGATTTGCCTAAAAAGTTACTAAATGTTGAAACTGGCCAAGTTAACATACACCACACGGAGCCCGATGATCGAATCTCCAGAAGAAGTACAAATATTTTTTATTCTTCAATTACATTACCTTTTTGGCAAATTTCTCATATAGTAAGCTACAACTGTAGGTCTCATGGTTAAACGTGGGCTCCGGACGGATTTCCTTTTTGTTATATATGTGTCCGTTAGCACGATAACTCGAGGAGCTGAAGTACGAAAGATCACAGGATAAGAGGGAGGTGAGGGTATTGACTACTATGCATACTTACGGGCTAAAAGAAACTGGTAAAACCAACTGGAAAACTGGTTCAAAAATAACAAAGCCAAAGAGTGTTTTAGATTATAACAAGAATATGGGTACTGTTGACATTGGGGACATAAAGTTGTCTTCCAATGTAACAGTGAGAAACCTATAAAATGGTATATAAAAACGATTTTTTCACCTTCTAGATGTTGCTATTAGAAATGCCCACATTTAAAAAAGATCAAAACAGACAAGAAACTCCACCTCTCCAACTTCAGGAAGGAGCTTGAGCGAGACATTCTTCTTCCACGTATGTATGCATACCAAGAGGAGGCCCCAAAAACGACAGGGCACTTACTACATGTGTGTTCCTTGTAACACTCTTCTGTGCATCCCCCTGCACAGTAACACCCATGCATGCAAGACTTCCACACGCTTCAGCAGTTCTGAAAGGTAGGACAGTCCTACACTAATGTTATTTTCATTGGGATTTATAATCTGTACTTATACTAAGGTAATGAGTAAATATTTAGCAATACAATTGTTTGTTTTTATTGTTGGTTTATTTGTAACATGAAAGTGACATTGGTGCTAGATCAAGCAATATTTGCAAAAGCTATGGAAATTGTTTGGTGCCACTTTTAAAGACGTTTTTATAATGATGGGAGGATTTCATATAATATGCAACCTACTTTCTATCGTTGGCAAACTGTTTGGTGATGCTGGGCTTGGTGACATAGCGGTGGAAACTGGATGTATTTCACAAGGATCCATTCTAAATGTTCTTCAAGGTAAACAGTACAACCGCGGGATTCGTTTACATAAGTGCATATACGAAGCTCTCATGCGAATCATCCATAGAAACTGAAATGGCTACTTTAAAAAACGGTTGTAGGTAAAATATTTTTTTTAGAGTAGTGATTTTTTGTAATTAAAACACCGTCGTAGGTAAAGTAGTGTACGCAACTCGCGTAAATAGTGTTAACGACACTCGTAGAAGTTGTTAAGGCACTCGCCAAGGCTCGTACCTTAAATTTTCTACTCGTGTCGTTAACGCTATCTTTACGCAATCGTTGCGTAAACTACTATATCATAAGCAAGGACTTTCAAGTGATATTTTATTTTATCGTAAAGTGGTGTTTCAATAACTAGTCTAAAATGCCTGTTTTTAGAAAAATTACGGAGTGTTATGTTATTCAGTACCTAAATGTAATTTATTATGATATTAATTTTCCAGGTGCTTGCCCTAACTACACTAGGGTGCGTGAGTAGTAGTAGCTCACGTGCATTAACGAGCATGTTACGTGAGTGCCTCTCACCAACTGTGGTCCCAACATTTTCCGTAGGATTCGTTATTTATGAGTTATAAGCGAAAACCCGAAAAAAGTGCAACATTTTCATAGTTTTACGACTCCCAAAAATTCTGCAGACGTCAGAATCCGTCGCAAACTCACAGGAGTCTTATTTGGGACCCCCAAAAGGTATTAAAACACTTTCCAGCTTTGGACGATTTTTTGGGGAGCATATGTCTAATTTGCCTGGGCTACAATTTAAATACGTAATTTTTTATCATACAAGCAATTGATAATATACTTAATTTTTTTGTCAGTACAGTGGTTGTGGTTTAGTAATGTATCATGTTCAAGTTTTATTACTTATAATGGCGTATTCTTTAAAATTTAACTGGAAAACAAACTTGTGAACTCCTTTTGATGCTGTACTTAGACTTAAGTGTGACCACACTAGTTTACTCAAAATAAAATGCAATATTGTAGGTTTGCTGCAGTAGGAGTTTTGAACTATCATTTCTCTCCCAATTGAATGAATGCCAAATAACATTTTATAACTTTCTAGCGGCTGTTAAAAGGCGATTTAACTACTCCGATGAAAAAATCTCCAGAAGTGCACAGTATTTGCTGCAGCAGACTACATACAAGTTACAACAAGAGCAAGTACAAATATTTTTTTCTTCTTCAAGTACATTACTTTTTTGGCAAATTTCACATACAATAAGCCACAACTGTAGGTCTCATGGTTAAACGTGGGCTCGGGACGAATTTGACAGACACCATTAGATTTTTATATAATAGTATAGTATAGAAGATTTAATTCTCGCTTAGGAACAATGCCCTAAAAAATATTGGTAGGTAGTTCCGGGACACTCTGTATATTCCGGTTAAATGTGTCGTCTCTCTGGATAAAACATGTTGGCAAGACATATTAATTGCAATACCAGTCGAAATTCCCCATGTTTATTCAAATCAATTAACAACAATCAGAGCGAGAACTAAATCGGACACAACACGTCATTGCCGATACGAACTACTTTACTGACCTAGCTGTAGTAGTTTTGGCATAAAGAACGTTTTAATGTTACGGCAAAACGCATCAGGACTTAAACTGTAATAATATAAGTGTAAAACGGTATATATTTTGACGATAGAAAAAAATGAAAACATTAAAATAAATTGTCTAAACCCGTGGGGAAAAAGGAAAAAATTACCGATTTGAAACAATTAACAGTATAAAGTCAAAGCTAAGGGTTAAGAAGCATATATCGGGGAAAAGATAGCTGATTTCAAATCATTTAGTATGAACTAATGCTTGAGATATTAGTTTTTTTTATAATACGACAAAATAATATCCCAATAGAACTCGTAGAAGATAACACGTGTTTTAACGCTATTAGCTGTGCGCGTTTGGATTCCGGAGGGAGTACATGAAAATACCCACGCCGCAGCAAAGCTGCAGATTGGGCGGATTTAAATTTCGCTGATTCCGGTACTCATATAAATAATATAAATAAATCTAAATAATCGGCGTCACCAATGATAAGAGCCTCATGACAGTACGTTTCTTGATCCATCCAAAAATAGACTGGATAAAAAACTCTACATTTTATAAATACCCTTTTCTAAAACCGTTATTCAATCTATAAATTTCACAGCTTTTTATAGCTAACAACCAACCAACAGCAGCAAGGGCATCATCATCTGTTGTCGCCATTTTGCACGGAAAACTATGCTACATGGGTCAGAAGTGTGTTAAGTAAGATATTAGTAACGAAAATGAATGTGTGGCGGTTAAGGTAAACAAGGTCAAATCTAACAGGTAGTAAGAATATAAGAAGGAGTAGGGAACTTGTGGAAGGTAAAGTAGATTATTGAACAGGAGGAAATTGATATGGCTTTGCAAAATGATTAGAGTGGTGGAGGACCAGCTCTCAAGAAAGGTTTGGAATAGGTTCCGCTAGAGAAGTGGAAGAGAAGACAACTTAGACGGAGTTGACGACTGGAAATAGAAGAGGTTATGACGACGAAGGGACTTAAAGTCGGTGAGTGGGCTGACAGGAATGAAAACTGGGTCTGCAGAAATAATTTTAGTAAGACAAAAGAATCATGCACTGTCACAACAATTTATTATACGTCGTTAATACAATTGGTTTTATAATAGGCTATCAATATGTATATTTTACAGTAACAAACTTGATTGGAACCCAAGATTGGTCGCAGAGGGTTGGGATACAACACACTTCGTCAAATATCTGGATGGATGGTACAGAAGTATGTTTTATAGGATCAAATAACATTCCCATGACAGAGTTTATAAATTGTTGTACACTTTTAAACATTCCAGCGCGATTATAACTTGAAGTAGATTTCACAGTTCCCACGCTGTCATAGCTAGCAGTTCGAGGTTTCCCGTCTAGAGTCAGTCAGTCCGTGGTTCCATCCGAAACTTCAGGTCGCCGTCCGGGGCATACATGAACGTCACCTTGTACTCGAGAGGCTCGTGGTGGTAAGACAACTTGAAATTTCGGATGAGCTGAAATAAAACACCAATAAAACCAGTGTGTAAAGGACATTGATACAAATAATTTTCAATTTTCAATTGAAGGGGGCTCAATTTTCAATCATTTCATCTACTACAATTGATCTACTGTAGCCTACATTACATAATCGATATGTCGCACAATTGATAAGAATGCAACAATAAGCTACATAAATAATTTCGAACCATGCAATTGCTTTACATCGACATTTACAACTGTTCATAACAGTTGACTTGTACTCCCTAGGGACAAAAAAGGCTTTTTACTACTGGTGATTAAAAACGTTACATAGTTTAGACCCATATGGTTTCGTCTTTTGTTTGCTATCTAAAGGTTATACATCGAAATGAAGGATCACGGGTTCATACATAAAACCCCATTATAAAAAGGTTTGTCATAATTACAGGTTCTAAAAAAGTTAACCATGTAAATAAAACAATAACTTGAGGGGGGCAAGCCCAAAATGACACTTTTAGCTACCATTCGTCCCTCTGCTATATCATAAGATGTACAAGGACACCTACATCGAAAACATTGGTTAATCAAAACGGGTTAAAAGTTATTTCACAAAAAACCTTATGGTATCAGGTACACCGTTTCATTGTGTGATAACAATTAGCTAAACTAAACAGACAATACCCCCGCCGCAGCAAACCTGCCGACTAAGTGAATTTCCATTTGTCTGAATTGATTTTCAATTGAATGTATGTACAGTAAATAAAATTAGGTTTAAGGAGTACCTAGGTTAGCTGCTACAAGGAAACTATTAAAGTGGAGTTTTAGTAAAATATGAATAGCTTAGTATAAAATAAACAAATTTGCAAAGTTTGATCAAAATATATCCGTAAACAAGCAAACTAAAATTACTCAAGTTATCGCGTTCACGGACGTATATAAATCTATACAAAAGGAAAAAGTAAATTAGTCACGGGCCTAAGTCTTACGGTGCCACCTACGGTAATAGCTACTCCCCTATAGGGAATTCGCTAAAACATCAATTTTTTTGCGAATTTAACATTATGATAGCCTACAGAAGACGTAAGTATCCTCAATTTATTTATATCATACCTATATGTGTAGGTAAATAACAACAGGTTTTATTCCGATATCGGTGGTTCGTAAACTTAATCCAGGTGATTCAACCTTACACATTCATGCCAAATTTAATCAAAATCGCACGAGAAGCGATAATAGGCCGGGAGCGCGCCCGAGTTCACGTGCAAACCTCGCACTGTCAAGTTGATGATTTTTAAAATATTCGTGGGAATGGATGGGGATTTGTAATGTTTATTGAGTTGTACAATCTATATATATAATACGCTAAGCCGATTTTTGTAAACAGAACTCCTCCCTCATTTTTGGATCGATTTTGATGATTAAAGTGTCAAACAAATGGCCCTGATCTGTAGTTTTGCAAAGTGTTTTTAGATTTTTGATATCTTTATTAGTTTGGGCAGGATCTTCCATCAAAGTTGGGTTTTCTCCCATAAGATTAACATGGGGGAATCTAAATATTTAATTGGAAACTTTGTCTCCACTAATTTGAGAGAACGGTTGGGCGTAGAAACTTGGTAGAGGTGTCCAAAGAAAGGTCTTGGTCTGTAGATGAGTTATCAAAATAAAAACGAAGTAAATTCGCTTAGGGCTCTGCCCCAGAAGCCTTTAAAGATCCATCCACAGATTTGTTTACGTTTTGGCTATGTGGATAATACTTTTTAATGAAACAGCTGTTAATTTTAAAATTGTATTTTAAACAACACACATTTATTGGGAGTTAGAATTATCAAAAAGAAGTATTTTCAATGTTATTTTCTGATTTTAAAATTGATTTTCTTCTGTATCATGTCATATGCATTATTTGTTGAAGCCGCACGACCATATAAATGAGGAGGCCCCTAACAGTTCAAGAATAAAATCCAACTTCACTTCAAGTATATTCCACTACACCTAACATTCTGTAGAGAGATTATATTGACAACTTTATGTAATTGATAAGGCTGAGACAACTAACTGACATCCCCCATGTCAAGGAATTCCAGCTTTAACAGTAACCCCACAACAAATTTCTCAAAACATTGCTAGAGGGTTATTCCTTGGCACAGAAGTGCGATATGAACTGAAGTGACGTGACGAAGGAAGACTCAAACTTACACTGTAAGGGATATACCTCCATTTGAAGTTATAACGTGTCTTCCCAACAAACAGATATTTTTTTTCAAATAAAATCTTAGATTAATCTGCATTACACTGATGGAATCAAGGAAGTGTTTAACTACAAAAGATCCACCAATACGAGTTGAATACTGTATAATGGTTCTTCCAAAGGAAGAGATACCAGATAACATACTAATATAATAACTCCGATGACGTACAGTATGGGGAATATTTTATTCATTGAATGATCAACCATATTTTGGTAACTTAGGCAATTGATATCATTATTGTTTTTACACTTATATTAATCTATAAACCATGCTAAATGCTCAAAATATGTATAATTTCACTCAATTTATCGCAGCAGATGGATTAGCGTACGCCTCGAAAGTAACCGTTGATTTCGACGGGTTTCACCTAGTAGTATTGAACATTTGTATGGGCTTGTATAGGCCGAAAGCAGGGTCTTTAAAAAATGGCTAATTAAACACACCCATGTTATTCTTATGGAGAAAAGTGCCTAAAGTGAGGTCATATTACTATATTATACCTACTTTACATGGGTCAATAAATGAAAGAATTAGCTTTTTAATTTGATTTCGAATATCAGGATTTTTGGAATTAGTGGCTAAAAAATTATCCCCATGTTATTCTTATGGGGAAAAACGCCTAAAGTAAGGTATCTTTGTGGTAATTGCCACTACACGTTTTAGAGAGTTATTTTGTAAACTTAATATGTACTTGTATTTCTAGACTTAAGATAAACTTAAATTAATATAAGGCCTGTCTCAACTCCCAGGCTTCACGAACCGCGAAGTATACAGTACTACCAAACCTGGTACAGAAACAAACTATTTTTTTTCGTAATTTCCTCTCTTTTGAGTTATTGGTAATTAATTGGTTTTAGGTAGCCTTTATACTGAAACGGCGGAGTGTACTGTGTATTGTTGTCAACCAGTAAACGATATTTGAAGATATTTTTGGTATCATCAATTTTGCAGTTATTAGATTTAAAATTATGTATGTGCAACCATTAGCATGGGTCACGAGGCGACTGCATGCAGCCACTTTACGCTGAAAGTAAAATGTGGTAAGAACTACGTCCTCAATAATCATATTAGTGCAGTTGATTGGTTCCGCCTTTGTTAACCTGTCAAAACTGCTAACCCTCATTTAATTAGCTGGCGCAGCGCTGGTGCTACGTGGCGAAAATACTACTCGGCGCAAATACTACTCAACCGACAAGGGAGTGCTAATTAAACATTTAAGAAAGCATTAGTGTGATACTCTTGTATAGCAACAAAATAATCTCAAAAAGAATCACTTTTAAAATGAATCATTCTTTCTTTTATAAGAAATAGTAGATTTAAAAGTAGTTGTTTGTATATTAAATTTTCATTAATATATCAAAGAGTACAAAAAAGTAATTCGGGCGAATATTTTCTTCTAGATTGTTTAAAACGGAACAATCAAACCATCCTATATTCTTTGTAGTGTAAATAATTTTCATCAACCACCTATTCCAGCAATCTATTTATAGATACAACCCAAGAGTTCAAAAGTGCGTGATTATTTTAGTGTCGAGGCTATTGGCATTTTGTGATGTGAGAAGATGAAACTTTTATGGGAAAACTTTCGGAACCTCTCCCAGTTTTGAGGTCAAACCCGTTTCTCTAATAGACAAAACCTTGGCTAGAAATACGCCCTAAATGTGTTGTTTAAGTTGTTGTGTGTTTTAGTGTTTAGAGTTTTTGATTCCATTGTATAAACTGCCAATGTTGTGACAACTAAAAGAAAATCACCTTGGCCAGAAGTATCTGCATTTCCAGGTCGGCGAACCGTCTGCCCAGACACATACGAGGTCCGTGACCGTACGGCAGCGAGGCGAAGGGATGGATGTGGAGGGGGGCGTCGTTGCTGGCCGTCTGCTTCATCCATCTCTCCGGCAGAAACTTCTCTGGCTCCGTCACAAACTCAGGCATGTTGCCTGTCACTATAGTAGGAAACACTAGCTGAACCTGGGAGCGATACAAACGTATTCAAACAGTTTTACTCTAAAAGCTGTAGTTATATATATTTGATAGGTTAAGGGGGTTCATGGACCGAATCTGATCACGTATTTTAGATTAAATGTATGACGTAAGAACATCTAAATAAAGATTAACATAAATAAATGGCATTGAGGCATTGAGGTACTACGTAGGAATACCTCCCCTAACGAAAGAAAAATGATTTAAATCTGTGGAACTCCAACATTAATCAGCACAAACTAACTACCTTGAGTTATTTTAAGGTTCAAAACAAAAAGAGCACCACATCCACTTTCATCAAACTAAACGATAAGAAAATTGATAAATACCAAGTGGAAACCGTAATGACTTTTTGGAACTCTTGTTGCACAATTTGGCAGAGAAAATGTGGAATTACATCGCCACTTCATTTTTGGCTTTGTAATTAGATAATATACAAATATTTAAAACGCCAATAGGGGGTTACAGGAAGGTTTAACAATGATAGGGCAAATAATGAAAAGCACTTCAGAGTTGCACTGAACTCGGAGCAAAAGTGTTAACTTTTAAGACCACAGGTAAATGAAAAGCAATCTTACATTTTTGTAATGAACAATAATTGTGACAGGGTTTACACTTACTCCTTTGGGTATTCTATATCCGCAAATCGTCATGTCCGTTTGCAAGGTCCTTCCATTCCCGATCACAGTTGAGTACATCCTGCATGTAAAGAACATAAATTTCACTTCGCATTCTTTGCAAATTTATATAAATAATAACTGAAAATAACCATAGCTTTCTTTAACTTGTTTAGTTACCTAAAAACCTCCTTGATGAACGCCTTAAGATAGTTCATCTTGTCGAGGTTGGCAGTTGTCAGTGGAGTATCAGCAGTTGGCAATACTGTTACAAGCTCTTGATAAAGCTTCTCTTGCTCAGCTGGTCTAGTAGCCAGCTGATACAGCAAAGAACACACAGCCATCGATATCTGGAAATAATATGAAATTCTTACAATTTCAACTTTAATGTGGTTCTCGACTGACTAACTAAATTGTATTTGTTATATTATAATTGCAACAAGCATATGAGTATACTCATTCTTGGTAATAAAAACGATAGTGAACTTGTTTTCATAGAATTTTAAAGAGTTATTAATGTTTTAAAATATTGTTATTTTAAGCACTATTTATCTTACCGTGTCTATTCCAACCAAAATTAGGTCCAAGGCTAGGACATAGGCTGTTTTAGGGTCAGGTTCACTGACCAAAATTCTCTCTAGTAGTGAGAGGTCTGAGGAGGCTTCCTTTGACTTAAGTCTCTCCACTGCGCTATCAATGTACTTCATGCAGATTCTGCGGACATGTATGACGATTAATAATGACTTTGCATGAGCATAAATTTGATAGTATGGAATTTTCATATTTTTAATTGTAGAGTTTGTAGAAGACCCCCGGGTTTTAACTGTCCGAATTCTTGCTTGGTAATTACTTAGTTTCGTTCTTCTAACGCGCTTAAGTTTGATCAATTCTGCTTAATTTTATACTCAAGGGTTCAATGGATCTTAGGCTAGATAGGAATCATTAAATTCTGCAGGTTTTTTTTTTTTTTTTTACTAGATCTATCATATTTATTGGTCCTGAAACACCTGCAGTTGAATAACAGTTTGTGTTTGATGTTGTGCCCAACCATGTCCTTGGTTTGCATCGACAAAATGTAAAGGAAGCAGACCTCAAAAAAATGTTTCATTGAATTTTTTATTTATATTGATTATTAAGGCTGTTTTCTGCTCTTTAAATTCATATATAACACAAGGTATGTATTATTTGTCTTGGATATAAAAAAATATTTTCTGAGACCCTGCAAGCACGATTTCGTGGGTGCGTGGGTGATAGAACTGATGTTGTCTGTATCATTTCATATAGTGCGTTTTTTTAAATAACAAAGTTATTATACAGGCTGTGGCAAATGAATGTTTACATTTCAGATGTTCTTTATTATTGTTTGGTTTGGTCTGCTAACGTTACTAGGTGAACGTTTATCAAACTATAACTTATTCTTTTTGTTGTGTGTGAAAAGTGGTATTTTGTGTAAAGTGAAGTGTTTCTAGGTGGTTTTTATCTAGAATAAAGACTATACAATGCCAAAATCCAGTAGAATTTTTAAAAAGAAGAAACCCTTTGTTATTCATGCTGAATCCATTTCTAACCTAAGTATTCCTAGGGCTAGTACATCTGCAAACAATCCAAACACAAATAACAACAAGCCTAAGCATAAAGACATAGGCCTAAGTGCCTCTAAACTGAAACTCATTCAACATCTTGAAGAGTATAAACAATTTCATGGGAACAACTTTGAGTATACTATTGTGAATGTAATTGCAATCCAGGAACTTATTCAAGAAGTTGCGGTTTGTAAAAATTGTTTTGGTTGTCTGACATTGTCAACTTCTGAGAAAGTAGGCCTAGCTTGTGAACTAAATCTAGAATGTTTACATTGTGATGAAAAAAGTAGCAAACCAAGCAGCCCTGTCACTTGTGTTACTTAAGAGGATGATAAACCAAACAAGTGTTCAGTGTTTGACATAAATGTTAGGTTTGTGTACGCTTTACGATCGGTTGGCCTAGATTGAGAAACGGGAGAAATGCTTGCGGGTCTCATGAACCTACCGAAACCTTCCAAGTTCGCTTCTACAACAAGGTATTAAAAGGTGCCACTAAAAAAGTGCAAGTGGAATCCATGAAAAATTCTGTGGAAAAGGTTGTTGGGGAAAATGGTGGAGACAGGGATTTGGCAGCAGATTTTGACGGAAGCTTGCAATGTAGCGGCTACTCATCGCTGAATGGAGTTGTCACTGCTACAAGTGTTACCACTGGCGAGATACTTGATGTTGAGGTTTTTTCCAAATTTTGTCAATGTAAAGACAACAAACAGATGTGTTACAACAGAAACACAGATGTGTTCAGATGTGTTACAAACAATCATAGTGAAGCATGCATGGCCAACTACTCGGGTACAAGCGGAGGAATGGAGATTGCTGCAGTTCGGAACATTTTCCATATATCTGAACCTAACTACGGAGTGCGTTACAGGTTTTATCTCGGTGACGGTGATTGCAAAGGGTTTGAAACTATTTGTAAAGAACAACCTTATGGCCAAGGTTTTAAAAATTCAGAAAATGGATTGTGTTGGTCATGTGCCGAAATGGATGGGCACAAGGCTTCGCACATACAAACAAAGAAAGAGCAAAATCAGTTTAAGAAGAGAAAACGATTGGAGGTAAAACGTTTGACTGAGGCTGCTATAAACACTGTCCAGCTGTATTATGGGTTGGCTATCTGCAGACATGCACATGAGGGGGTTTCTGCACTGAAACAGGCCATATGAGTAGATTTTTTTCATTTGGGCACCACCGATGAAGACCCATCTCATGCACTGTGCCCACGCGACATCGATTCATGGTGTAAGTACCAAGTCGCCAGAATGAACAAAACACCCTACAGACATGATGAACCAGCATCTATTACACTTGCCTGAAACAATCATGAAAGAAATCAAACCTATTTTTGGAGATTTATCGAATGACTTTTTGTTGAGCAAGTGTTTGCACTGCGGAACTCAAAATATCAGCGAATCGCTCAACAGCGTTATTTGGAGCCGAGTACCCAAAAAGTTTTTATTAGACTAAATACCCTCAAACTGGTGGTCTATGATGCTATTGCTGGTTGTTATTATAAAGAAAATGTCAGCAAGTGTATTGTATTCATGCTTTTGGACTTGCAACCTGGACATAACTTTGTGAATGCAATGAAATCGCTCAACGCTCGCCGTGTGGCTTGTGCGGAAAAAGCCATCAAAGAAATTAAAAAATAAAATATCGTAAGGCAAATTCACTTAAGAGGGAGGTTTTAGAAGATAAACTTTAAGAAAAAATAAGCTTTTAAAATTTACATTCATAAAACCTATCTACTGAACAAGAAAATTGATATATTTTTAAATACCTTAGAGAAAATTTTAACAAAGGATGTATAAAATGGTGGTAAAAATTTCAGATCTCTAACTCTAATCTTTTCTTAGAAAAAGGTAGGCCTACATAAGCTAAAATAAAATGGCGGAAGATAGGGAGGTCTGCTCCCCTCTTGATCTCCAAAAACGTGACATTAAAGCACTATAGGTTAATGATAGGAGTGATGCAGAGTCTGACAATGTTAAATATGAATTTGATTTGGGTTGGCCCCAATCAATCAGAGAACGAGTATTCAATGTCGCGTCTTTTCAGATAGAAAGTTTAAAAGAATTATTACTGCAAGAATCTACTCTGAGAACAGATTCTACATGGTTGTGTGTGTAACAGTGATTGTAATTGCAAGTTACTTAATCTACATGGACTATAACGACAACCCCGGCAAATCTGTAAGCCTCTTCAATTTTTTTATGAACAAAATAATTTGTACCATTTAAATTTTTTCCATGCTTTTACTAATTGTGGTCCTAGCCATGAAAGATCCTCATTTTGAATCTGACAATGTAATATTGGCTAAAATAATAGAAAAGAGGGACGGCGTACCCCATTTGGTGCAGCATGTCAAGATCTGCGCGCTTCGGGTCTGGCAAGAACTGACAAAGCTTGCAAACAGAATATTGAGGAAGCCCTAATGGACTTTACATTTTCTAAAAAATATGGTCCTAAGAAAATTAGAATATTTTGCACTTCTTGGTTTGAGAAAAAACCTTGGATTACGGCAAGTGTGAGCAAAGGGAGTCTGTTTTGTTTTTATTGTATATTTTTTGGAAAGGAGATTAATAGAGACGTGTGGAGTAAAACCGGCTATAAAGACTTAAAGCAACTGGATGAAAAAATAAAGAAACACAAAGAGTCAGCTTGTCATAGGACTTGTGCCCTTTCCTTCAAAACTCTTGGAACTGTAAACATAGCCGCTGAATACTGAAATACTGAATACTGAATGCTGTGAAAATACCCATTAAAAGCATAAAAAACAGGTCTCTAAAAACAGGCATGTGTTCGATAGAATTGTAACTTGTCTAACATTTTGTGGAGTTCACGAGATTGGTCTTCGGGGTCATGATGAATCGGTCTCTTCACACAATCGCGGAAATTCCTTAGATCTATTATCCTTGATTGGCAGCTTGGTCAGTATCGTGGAAGACCATTTAACTAGTGACACGTCGGGACTAAAATATACATCACACAATATTCAAAATGAACTCTTGGATTGTATGTATAAAGTATATTTAGAAGAATTGTCTACAGATTTGGACTTTTTTTTTGAATTTTTTTCGATACAAGCGGACTTCTTATTTTGTTCCGTTGTTCTTGTTTTGTTGTTTGTTTATTTCTTTTGTTTTCGATCTTGTACTAACCTTCACCTTTAATTTGTGATAGTGTTTCAATTCATTAAAATAGACAAAACAGTCGAGCGTTTTTTGGCCTCTGACGTTCACGATCGCAAAACGGCGGGAATGTTTGAAGTATTAAAACAAAACTATGCTAGAACCCTGTAGACTTCAAGATAAGTTCGTTGCTCAAGCATACGATGGTGCAAACACTATGCGTGCTCATACAGGGGGTGTGCAAACTTAAATGAAAACAGTTTTCAAGAATGCGAAGTATGTTCATTGTTATGCTCACCAAATTAATCTTGTAGTGAAAATGCGTGTTCAAATGTTAAGCCAGTAAACATTTTTTTCGTAAACATCACAGGATTTTCAATATTTTTCATCGTCACAAAAAAAAATGGATGTTTTAAAAGATGTTTGCAATAGGTTTTTGCCCACAGTGCCCCAGACCCGTTGGAATTACTAATCTCGCGTTGTAAATAGCGTTAAAGAGTTGAGTGTAGAGCTGACATTTGATACCATCGAAGAAGGTGAAGGATGGGATGACACGACGATAAGAGAAGCCTGTGGATTGAAAAAATTTCTCCAAAATGTTGAATTTTTATTCTATCTGATTTATTTTACGATGTCCTGAAACATACTGACGTTATATACAACATCATCCAAAAAGTTACATCAAACAGTGTGCAAGTAAACAACAGTTTAAAATATTTGGAAAGTGAGATTGGAAGTATTCGTGAAAATATCGGCAAGTATTTTGTGACAAGCGACAGTGCGTCACGACGAACTCAACAGACTCAAGAGCAACTACGTACTAGCGCTATTGAAGTGTGTGACATCGTAGTAAACCAAATGAAAGACCAGTTTTCTAATTCTGAAACGTTCAATCGTTTTACTATAATTTACACAAATAAGTTCACGATTTTCAAAGGTAGCTTTCCTTCTGAAATGGTACACAAGTTTCAAAGAATTACTCAACACTCGTAGACATCACTCAACTAAGCAATGAACTTAAAATTGTTTATCAAATGAAACATTTTCATAGTTTGAGTCAGTAAATAACTTGTTTACTTTTTTTCTGGGAAAAGAACTGAAAGAGTGTTTTCATCAAACGTTCAAGGTGTTGCAAATACCACTTACAATTCCAGTCACAACGGCAGAATCAGAACGGTGTTTCAGCACATTGAAGAGAATAAAAAAAATTTTCTAAGAAACGCAATGGGGCAATTTCTTCATTACGTTTAATCAGGACCAGTAAAGTGATATGAAAGTCAACTATACTTTTCTTTATTCAATTTTGATCTACTCACTACCCCCAATACCTCTAAGGGTAAATTGTTTACAACTATTATTATTGTAGCCCTCATATCTAGGAAGGTTAACGTAAACTGATTTTAAATATCTCAAATAGTAAAAAAGTTAAAGGGGGGAGCTACTTTTCAGCCATCCTGTAGTATTTTTCTAGTAATCGTGATATCTATAAATAATATCCATAAAACGAAGGATTTTTGCCTGGTGATAAACTTAAAAATCCTCGTACTCGTAATTTCGTATGAATTTGAAGAAATTGGCAATGATTCTTTAAATAAACATGATAAATTAAATTGAAAAAGTAATAACATGTCAAATACCCACTCAACTTTGAAATAGGTCAATTTGAAGCTATTGGATGTAAATATGTTACTTAGGCAAGACAAATGGGTACTTCAGTATTAAACGGAGGCCACATTTTGTCAGCGCGCTGCGGCGGTTATGTTAGGTTGGGTTATCATAATAGAAAGTATCGTTCGATTCATAACGAAGCGAGGAAAGTCCTACACACATAATATTTACGATAACCCAACCTAACATAACCGCCGCAGCGCGCTGACAAAATGTGGCCTCCGTTTAATACTGAAGTACCGACAAATGGGTTATTGAGTTACATTGAGTCTGCCATGTATTAAAAAATCCAAAAAGAAAAAAAATAGATAAAAGTTGATAGTTTACTCAATGAAATAGTCCATGTTGTTGACGTATCTCGACCACAATGGCGTCGGAATGTATCTCCAGAAAGGCATCTTCAACTCCAGAATAGCTACGTTTCGTAACGCATATTTGGCAGCGTTGATTATCTTTTGTGGTTCAGAGTCCGGTGACAGTTGAGGGTCCAGACATCCCAGCCGTACGTCGAGAGCCACACGGCCGATACCTACAGACAGATTGCGTATGCATCTTTTAAAATGTACAGTATTTAATACACATACTAATATGCTATAATCACAACGTCAGCTATACACATACTAATATGCTATAATCACAACATCAGCTGTTCATTTCAATCTCAGCCGTTATTTAATTAAGCTCGTTCAAAATAATACTACAGCTATACCACGAATACTAGAAAAGACCGGTATGGATCATAAACATGAACAAATGACGTTTTTGGCCCAAAAGTAAACATTATGTAACATTGTTTAAATGGAGCTGTCTCAGACAAAGGTTAATGCTATTTGTGTAGGATTGGGTCCAAAATCGTAATTTTTTATGTTTATGATCCATACCGGTATTTTTCTAGTATTCGTGGGTTACACACACGGTGTCAACCGTCGATGCATCGACGGTAAGGACATGATCTGGGGTGTCAAGCGTCGATTAATCGACGGTAGTGCAGACTGTTACATTTCGTGTAATAACTCACTCAATTTCGCTCTAAATCGGACTGAATTCACATCACTAATAATCAGTGGTAAACAGGCTTTATTATGGCGTCTGACTCTAAGCTCCTTTTTCTTTTGCCTGTCTCCAGATGTTATTAAAAATATATAAATGTTTACGTTTCGTTGCCGTCGACGGACGACGGTGTCACTAGTTGTTGCTGTTTACAAGTGGTTTGTTATCGTTTACTAGTGGTTTGTTATTTGATTTTATGTTGGGAAAATGGATAGGCTATTAGCGATATTAGAGTTGCTTTAGTTGAAGATTTTAGTGATGCAGACTCTGTTGTTAGTGACATTGAAGTGCCTGGAGATGTTTCATTACTTGATTTTTCGTCTGGAAGTGGTGAAATCTATTCGCCTCATTTGAGTGAATTGGAGACATCTGATCGGGAAGAAGTAAATGTGGATGATCCTGATCCTGTTCCAATAGGTTATCAGAATGAAGAGAATTACGTTGAAAATTAAGTTAGGCCTAATGGCAATTTTCCTTTGAATGACCAAAATGTTGTTTTGAAAAGAAAGCCATGGGTTAGGGTGTACCCTCCTGAGCCTCCCAAAAATATTGCTACTGAGTTTGCTGTTAGGGACCCAGGGCCTAGGAACCTTCCTCCAAGAAATAGTAATCCAATTAGCTACATACTGTAAACCTTTTTTTGACTCAGGCTTTCTGGCTTCTCATTACTAGAGAAACAAATGCCTATGCATCGTAGGATAGATGAGAATAGAGACACTCTGACACCAAATTCGCGGTGGAAAAAATGGGTACCTGTGACTGTACAAGAAATGAAAAAAAACTCTTTGCTATTTTGCTGAACATGGGTGTGACAGTGAAGAAGAACCTGAAAACATACTGGGATACTAGGGGCTCTCAACACAACCCATTCTTTCAAAACACGATGTCCCTCAATCGGTTTTTGTTGATAAGCACGTTCTTTCACATTATCTCCAATCGATCACTGGAAAGGGCAGTAGGCTACGATCCATGGTGAAGGTAAGGTATATGTATGACCATATAAATATTTTCAAAACCTAGGATACTTCATCCCATCTCAAAATGTTTGCATCGACGAATCCCTCATCGGATTGAAGAACCGCTGTGCTTTTATACAGTATATTCCAAATAAAAAACACAAACAATATGGAATTAAAAGATTTCAGACAGGTGACAGCAATACAAATTATGTTTTGCATGTTGAATTGTACAGCGGGACTGATTGATTATTTACCAGCCAATGATACCGAGAGTTGTTCACTGAGAGAGTTGTAATGAATTTGATGTCGAAAAGTAGATTGTTAGAAAGAGGGTAACACTTGTACACGGACAATTTTTATACAAAAATCCCCTTAGTTGAGCGACTCTTAAAACGTCAAACAGAGTTAACCAGAACAATCAATAAAAGGTCCAAACACCTGTCTAGAACCGCCAAAAATACAGTTCTAGGCGCCCGGGAAAGTATTTATTTTAGACAAGGTGATCTGTTCGTGTGTTCCCGCTATCTCCGCGTTCCGCCACCTCCGAACCCAAATCTGTCCAGCCACCTCCGAATTCTTGAGTGACCTTTATAATACCGTCACTGCCTGCGTTGGTAGCTGTCATTGCATTCACGGCTGCGAAGCCCCGTGGATGGGAGATTTAATGAAAATTTAACCCGTGGGTTAGGTTAGGTTAGGTTAGGTTAGGACGGAAAGTCTTAACGCATGTATTAACCGAGGATTATAGGGGTCACTCTGAAATTCGGAGGTGGCGGGACGCGGAGATAGCGGGAGGTAACCGATCTGTTACTTGTACAGTACAGGCAAAAAGCAAACTGGAAGCCCGTTTTTTGTAATTACAACTGCCCACAATGCTGGGGATGAAATTGTTCAAAGCAAAAATGGACTCGTTGGCCAAAAGCCTCTTTTGATTCATGATTACAATCAATCAATAGGTGGAATTGACGTCAACGATAAGTCGGTCTACCATATGACTTGTAACCGTTCTACCACAAAGTATTGGAAGAAGATTTCTACAAATCAAACACGGACGATCCACTGGGGAGAAGAGATTTCCATAGGAATCATTGAAGCTCTTGTAGCAGCAGGCATCCCTCAGGAACCTCCACCTCTGGAGATGTTGGAGATCGACACCACCTTGACAAGCTGCCGAGGAAATGTGAAAGGAAGTGAATGGTATGCAGCAATGGAAGAACAAGATTCTGGTGCCCTGGATGCAACATAGGAGTGCACCGTGAATGCTACCATAACCTACAGCACTTCTGGAGGCCAACTCGTGGTGCTAAGCGGAGACTGCATAGAAAAAGTTCCGACTCAGAATAACATTTGTGATCATAATTTATTTCTGTCTTCTAGGGGACTAATGTTTTTACTGTGCCTAAAAATTGTTTTCTGTGTAAGCCTACATTGTTCCAAAGATTATTTGGGTACGGTAGTTAATTTTTGTTTTACAAAAAGTGAGTGTTTTTTTATAACTTTGTTTCATTGGTTTGGTTGAGTGAACACTTGAAGTAAAAACTTTTCCGCCTACCCTCTAGTTTCATGGTCGATAGTAATAGAAATATTTTTTTTAGATGAGTGAACGAAGTGAACGAATCTATGAATCGTGTATAGCGAAGTTTGAGAAAAGTTGTCCGCTTGTGTGTGTGTGTGTTTGCGTGTGTGTGTTCGCACCAAAAACTCAATAACCGTCGCACTTATAGCGTTCAAATTTTCCACAAATAATTATGACACCAGTGGGAAGACACCATTAAAATTCTAGACGATTCCGCTCAGTAGTAATTATAAAATACTTAAAAAACATTTTTAAATTTGTCCCATAAGAATAACATTAGGAGCTACCTTCTTCTTTTTATTTGTTTACGTTTTGCGACCAACAATTTTGTTGTCTACTTAAGACAGAGAGAACGACTTTTACTCTAAGCTCTTTCATTCATGGAGTAAACCGGAGTAAACAGTTTGGCGTCTATGAATATACAGGGTGTCCATAAAAAACGTTTCAGGACTTTGGGAAATGAATCCCCATACTAAAAGGAAGAAAAAAGTTTATGGGAAGGTATGTCCGAAAATGCATATTAACCCAGATATCCGCCATTTTGTTTTTTATACAAAAATATTTTTATCTGTGAAGTTTTTTATTCGACGATTATGAAATTTGGTATACATGTTAATATACACAAGACCTATAATAGAAAAAATAATAAAGCGGCCGTTTGAATTTTTCTAACTTAAATAACTCAAAAACGGCTAATTCTATGAAAAAATGTCAAGAATACTTTTTTTTTGCATTTTTAATTTCCTATCAAACGATACCACGATCAAAAAGATCGGACAAAAGATAACTGAAATATAACGTTTTTTGTGTAAAAATAAGGCAAAAATTAAGGGTTCCTCTACTAACTTTGCCTTATTTTTACACAAAAAACGTTATATTTCAGTTATCTTTTGTCCGATCTTTTTGATATTGGCTTTTATCTTTTTTATATCAGCTCTACGACGTAGGAAGCGGTGAAGGAAGTAGTCAAGGCGAGCAGTCTGGAGTGTAGAAACTCTTTGTGACAGTTAAATTAATGTACCTGCAATACTAAAATGCTATAGGAAGGGAGGGAAACAGGTCCACGACGTAGGAAGTGATAATGGAAGTAGTCGAGGTGAGCATTCTTGAGTGTAGAAACCCTTTGTGACAGTAAGATTAATGTATCTGCAATAATAAAATTCTATGGGAAGAGAGGGAAACAGGTCCACGACGTAGGAAGTAGTGAAGGAAGTAGTCAAGGTGAACAGTCCAGAGTGTGGGAACTCTTTGTGACAGTTAGATTAATGTATCTGCAATAATAAAATGCTATGAGAAGAGAGGGAAACAGGTCCACGACGTAGGAAGTGGTGAAGAAAGTAGTCAAGGTGAACAGTCCAGAGTGTGGGAACTCTTTGTGACAGTTAGATTAATGTATCTGCAATAATAAAATTCTATGGGAAGGGAGGGAATCCGGTCCACGACGTAGGAAGTGGTGAAGGAATTAGTCAAGGCTAGCAGTCCGGAGTGTGGGAACCCTTTGTGGCAGTTAGATTAATGTACCTGCAATACTAAAATGCTATGGAAAGGGTGGGAAACAGGTCCATGACGTAGTAAGTGGTGAAGGAAGTAGTCAAGGCGAGCAGTGCGGAGTGTGGGAACCGTTGTTGGCAGTTAGATAAATGCATCTGCAATACCAAAAGGCTATGGGAAGGGAGGAAAACAGGTCCACGTCGTAGGAAGTGGGGAAGGATTTGGTAAATGCGAGAAGTTCTGAGTGTGGGAACAGTTTGTGGTAGTTAGATTAATGTACATTCAATTCTAAAATGCTGGGGTAAGGTAGGGAAACAGGTCCACGACGTAGGTAGTGGCGATGGAAGTGGTAAATTTAAGCAGTGCGGAGTGTGGGAACCGTTTATGGCATTTAGATTCATTAGTTAGATGATCATTTATTGGATTTTTAATCATTTTTAGGTGATATAATAGCGCTATCGCTGTTATAAATTATCATTGTAAGCAATACGATATTTTTTTTTGAGATTCCTTACACTGTGCTTTGGCAATTTATTTAAGTTAGATTAGTTCAGTTTGGCTTAGTTTTGTTTATGATAGGCCTTATAACAAATATGGAAATAGGCTTCATTTAATCAAAAGACGTTTTGTACAAGAACGATGGATTTACCTCCTATCGATAACTGTTGGAAATCCATTACGTATATTACCAATGACTTTTGGTTAATTAATGGACGAGAAGTTAGGATTGTTGTTGACTGAGATTTTGTTGATTTGCCCATACAAATAACATTATTGTGTTCACCAGTGACACCGGTAAATAGGCTAGGTGTGGGTGGACTCTTCCATTATTGCGTTCATGTTCACTCATCCCGTTACGTGCAGAATAAGCGTACTACTAGTAGAAATATTTTTTTGATAAGTATATTTTATTTTTATGCATGCATTGATGTTAAACAATAAATAATGAATATTTAACGGTATGCATGTGTTTTGCATGTGTGTTTTGAAGCTTGTCTGCAAAGTCATAGAATCTTGTAATATTGAGTGATTTCACTACTGTTCTTGTATTATATTTTGTCATATAGCTAACCTAAAAATTAAGCTAAGCCTACTAAAATGCATGTTTTCTTTTTTGTTATAATATTTATAAATAAATGGCTATCTCAGATTTCTCATATGGTTAAATTTATTTCTAAAACAAGAGGCACGAACATTTGATTTTTTTTCTCAGAGCATTTTTTATCAAATATGCATGAAACCCAAACATCTATGCTGCATTATGATGTCAGTGTATTTAGCATAACAAAAATATATAACATGGTATAGTTCATCTGAAAAATAAATGTTATATAATTTTTTAAACATAATGCTGCGTAACGCCCAAAAATCACCTGACACTACAGAAAAAATTTCGAGGGATCATGACTACATCTATTACGAAATATCGAGTTATGTCCGTCTTTTCATAGTTTTAGCGAATTTCCCTATAGGGAAGTAGCTATTTTACAATGTAAGTACTCTTATCTCGCACACTTACACTCAAGTGACCACTTGTGTATTTCATTGTCAAAGTCTGCTGGCATCTCATTTCTATCGTCTTTCATTTCTTGCATCCTAAAAAATATATTGATTTTAGTTCTAAAACATACTTGAAGCAATACTTAGTCCCACTCCACTCCATAGAAAAAGAGGTTCTCTAGTCAGATATTTAGAAGTTATACTCCGCGCCAAAGCTGGTGGCGGCTGAAATACTACTTTGATAATATTTTACTAATCAAAAAATCTTTACCGATAGCACTTTTGACCCAGTAGGGCTTATAATGACCAAAACCCGAAGCGGTCGAGCGCGGTCTTATTGGGGGTAGGCTCACCGACCCGGCCGTCCTTGAGCCGACCACTCGCACCGCCCCCAGACGAACAACTATTGGAAGCATGCCCCCCATAGTGACAGTGCGAGTGGCCGCCCCACATCCCTAACAAAAATGAAAGGCCGTGGGTGAATATCAAAAAACAAACAGTTGTCAACAAAGCCTATATATTTACAAAAAAAATCAACAAATAACAAAACATCCATCCAAAGAATTTCTTTAAATAAGCTTTCTCAAAAATTTAATTAAAAAAAATGATTTTAGGTTTACCCTTCTAAACTTACAAATACTGGTACCAGTAACAGAAAAATAGGCCTAACAACGAATAGATTAAAGACGGTAACAATTAATATTAAACCTTTAAAAAATCAACAATTAAATGAATAACAAGTGACTAAAAATAAATAACAATGGTAAATAATTTGGGGGCCCCATTGATGATCAGTCCTTTTCAAAAAACTTTCATTAATTACAAATATAACTTGCGGTAATGGTCACTGGTCACTCTGGTCGCTTCAACTAGTGGTGGGTGGCGGTGGTGGTAGAAGGCGGATGGTGGCTTGAAGGTGTAGTGTGTCCCACTGGTCCCAGGAGCAGGGTGACTGGCAGCCCGAAGAGGGAGAAGGTGTAAGGTCTCCCCGGGCGACCCTCTCCGGAAGTGGCGGAACAAAACCTCCCATCCGGGACCCTTTAAACAGTTTCCAGGTCTAACTAGTAGGAGTTCATATAACTGGAGTGTAACCTTAGGCCTACCTAGTTTTTAAGCAAAAAACTCCAAAAAACAGTTTCCGCACCACTCGGACAGCGTCCAAACCATTAAGAGTGATTTTATTAATAAATATTCTTCTTTTAAATTAGGCTTTCCTTTGTAAAACAGTTTTTAAAATTAGAAAAAGTAAAATGACTAGAAATAAGTTAATTCAGTTCAATAAAGCTCTAAAACATAACAATAAATAGACTTTCTAGATTTTACAAACTTTAACAACACATTCTTACAGACATTTTTCATAAAAATTGAAGTTGACAATAAAAAATATAAATTATCTGGTCCAGAAGGGTAAAACACATTAATCAAACACAAAACAGTTACATAAATACTACAATTAATACTTCAAAAAACAGTTTACACAAAATATTAAAAATTCTTTGGCTGGAGGTGCATTTTCGGGTAAAACCGGTAATAACTCCGGTTATTACCAACCAAATTTGCTCAAAAAGCTTTTAAAAGTTGTGGCACAAGTGCCCGCAGCTTTTAAAAGACAAACCCATGCCTACCAACTAGCCTGAGGCCAGGTAGGGGGTCAGTTACCTACGGTCACTCAGAATACAGAATTGCGCTAAACTAAAAACCTTATAACTCGGTCATTTATCAATAAAACTAAATCAAACTTGCAGGGGACATGTAAGAACACTAAAACTAACTAATTATGACCGAGCTTGGCCCCCAGGAGGCGCCATTACTTAACTAAAAAAAAATTAGGCTGAGTGACATGGCCTACAATACAAATAACAAAAAAACACTTTTACAGGGGACAAAGGGACAAAATTTACATTAAACAAGTTGTAGGCCACAATAACAAAACAAAATTGAGCACAAACTAGGCCTTAGGCCTAATAATAAATTAACAGGGACACAGAACAAACGGACCCTAGCCTGCACAAAAGTGAGTTTCAAAGTGAGTTTTCTTGGGTAATATCTGGCCTAGAGTCTCGGGGAAAGCTTTGAAAACTTGACAACAAAGAAAACTACAAAACTAACCAGAAAAGCTTGTGGTCTGACCACACAAAGCTTGGCCAAAGGCCCATTGAAACTCTGAACAATTCCAGGCTCAGAAATGGGTCTAGCGCCTTGAAAAACAAGTAATTGGTAATTAAAAGTAATACCAATGCACAGAAGGTGCTTAATACTTGCTTTTCACTAGCCAAAACCCACTCAAAGTCTGCACAACATGTGGCCGAAGGCCAAAACTAATTCAGAAACTTTCTAACCTAAAACAAATCAAATAATAATCAATCAACTTACTCATCTGATGTCTGGCAAAACACTTAAACCATGACTAGAGTCAACGAAGAACGGATGAACAAAATTAACAGTGACATTGAAAGATTAACACTGATATTCATCGAAGATACCCAAGTCTTTATAAATTGACAATCGCCGGCCTTCTGGTGAAAATGTGACAGAAGGCGGACATTGACTCTGGGTTGCAGGATTGCTGCCCGACCCAAACCGACTGAGTTCCGGCGCAAAGCCAGCACTCGCACTATACAAAAACACTGAGGCGTGACATTGGTGGGACGCTTGGCGTACAAGTCACGGCTCAACCTCCCCCCCCAAAGGAGGACTTCCTCTCCAAAAAAAAAAGAAAAACAACCTCTCCCAATTCTAGAAGATCTCAACACCACAGATCAACTCAAGTGTCTGAAGTGGGGAACGCCAAAAGTCTTTCAACTGGAGGGACTACTCACCCCCAGGGTTTGCACTGGCCAGTGCTGGAAAATTTACTAGGGAAAAATCTTCAGCAGCGCACAAGGGACAGAAGAGGTGATCAAGCTCTCTGGCCCAGTGCACTTCCCACTCAGACACAAGAGTAATGAAAGATGACCTACGGAATTGTTCCCCGGAAAGGCTTCAGATGAGAAATGTGAGCCCTCCGGAAAACTTCTCCAGTCTGCGGATTTCCCAGCCGCACGGAGACAGGAGTCAAGAACTTCAAGATTCGGTGGGGACCTGACCACCGATGAGACAACTTTGCGGCTCTCTTGTCCACGGCCGAACTGACCGGATGAGCCTTGCAGAAAACCAAATCCCCCACCTGGAAAGGATTGTCCAACCGACCTCGATTGTGCTTCCTCCGGACCAATTCCCTAGCTCGGATCAAGTTCCTCCTAGCCGCCTGCCAAGTTGCCTTGACATTGGCCGCACCAGGGGGTGGCAGAAGGTCGCCAATTTTCCACACATTTGCCAAAGGATTATTGGGTGGATAGCCCAACAACAGCTCGAAAGGGACCGCCTTGTGACTCTCATGGTGTGCAGTATTGAAAGCAAATTGAATCCAAGGAAGTTCCTGATCCCAGGTGGTCTGCTTGTCAGCATGAAAAGCTATGAGAGCGGATCGAAGATTTCTGTTGAACCTCTCAGCATGGGAAGGCTGTGGATAGTAAGGAGAAGTGGTCACATGGCGGATACCGTGCCCAAAGCACATTCTTTTGAAAAGGTGAGACACAAACTGAGTTCCGTTGTCGGAAACAATGGTGGCGGGTATCCCAAAGTGTTGGAACAAATGGGTACGAAGTGCCTGCACGGTGAGCTGTGCAGTGGCGTTCCTCAAAGGAAAAAGCCAACAAAACTTGGAGAAGGCATCCACACAAACAAGCAAGAATTTGTTTCCTGACTTGCTACGTGAGAGTGGCCCTACATAGTCTATGAAAACCTTCTCCAAAGGTCTCTCCGCCACCTCAGATGACAACAACCCATACTTGGTATTCTGAGCAGGCTTGCTTAGCGAGCATGTTTGACAAGAACGCACTCGTGCCGCAATGTCCCTGTCCATACCCTTCCAGATGAACATGTCCCTAACCTTCGCAATGGTCTTGTGAATCCCTAAGTGCCCACCCACAGGGGAAGAGTGAAAGTACGCAAAGACCATGGGTACAAGAAGACTAGGCAGCACAACCTTGGGTTTACCTCGCTGTCGGTCTCGACAACAAAGAGCACCCTGGGACAGAAAATATGGGGGGTGGGCTCCCCCATTTTGAAGCTCACCAATGATCTTAGCCAGCTCGGGATCTTTTAACTGATGTGGGATGAACTCAGAAAAGGCAAGGGGAAACTCCAGGAGCACGGCACACCCAGTGTGCTCCTCCTGATCAGAAGGTTGGTCGTCAGGTGAGTGATACATCCTTGATAAAGTGTCAGCAATCACATTCTGCGTGCCTCGAACATGTTGCACTTGGAATTTGAGGGAAGATATTTGGACCACCCAACGACCAATTTTCCCAAGCTGGCGAGGATGTGCAAGGAGCCACGAGAGTGCTTGGTTGTCGGTTTCCAGCAAAAACTCCTTGTGTTCCAAAAAACGTCTGAACTTATTCACTCCAAACACGACAGCCAAACACTCTAACTCATACACAGAAGAGCTTTTCTTTTCGCATGGGTTCAAAGTGCGTGAGGCATACGCAATTGGCTGCCTAACACCATCTACCTCTTGAGACAACACAGCCGCAATAGCGACGGAGGAAGCATCGGTTTGCAAAACAAACTTTTGACTGAAATCTGGCATCGCCAAGACCGGAGGTTGCATGATAGCTTCTTTCAGAAGATCAAAAGACATCTGTTGTGCTTCACCCCAAACAAACTTGGCGCCCTTCTTCCGAAGCTCATTGAGAGGAGCCGCCAACTCAGCCACATTGGGGATGAAGCGCCGGTAGAAACCCACCATTCCAATGAAACGGGCAATGCCTTTGACATCTCGGGGAGGAGGAAACTCCCTGATAGCCTGGGTTCTAGCCGGATCGATACAGACACCTCGAGATGATACTAGATGACCTAGGAAAGAAATCTCAGCCTGAGCAAAACTAACCTTCTCGGGATTTACGGTAAGGCCAGCCCTAAGCAACCTATTCATAACTTCCTCAAGATGAACCAGATGGTCTTCAAAGCTCTCACTGTACACCAAAAGATCGTCAAGATAGTTGAACACAAATTTGAACTTGACGTCATGAAAGATGGAGTCCAGAAGTCTG